AATCAAAAGCAGTGATGGTGGGAGTTCTTCAAAGCCTAAGAGAAGTTGTGAAGTGCTTCCCATCAGTGAAAGTGATAATTCTCATAGGTATACACCTAACATCCGACTTACGACCTGCTCGACTTATGACCACTCGACTTATGACCGTGTTTTTTATGCCAAATTTCTGGGAAATAAACAACTATTTGTGTTGTACACAGTGTTTATCCTAAACCTTACAGTATAAAATATAGTAGTAACAGCATAAAAAGTAAAGTAAAACACGAAATACCAAAATAAAACAATAAAATAAAGTCATTACAAAAATGTTTTGTTGATATTCAGTAGTAAAGTTCGACTTACAACCATTTTGACTTACGACCGGTTTCTCGGAACCAAACTCGGTCGTAAGTCGGATGGTAGGTTTATATGTCAACGAAAAAAGATTTATATATAGGGCTCGCTGCTATCCATGGTAAGTTTTGGAATGTATCCCCTGAGGATATGGGGGGACTACTGTATCATTGAAAAGCGCCATATTAGCGAAGCACTCTAAAGCAAAGTTCCGTGAAGTGAGGTATGCGTGTGTACATTTGGTGTTCAATATTAAATTTTTGTGTAAAACTTAGCAATTTTTTTTCTGACTCTGTATGTACAGGACCATCTGTACAAATATATATACATATCCACTTCTAAATCTTGAAATACTAACAGAACTCTAGGCTTATGCTCAAACAAATACATAATACTCTGATGTCACCCTGTGCTTAACTTGACCTGAATAAAAAAGTTCCATATGCCAACCACTGTCAGAGTCCCATTGTGTCTGTGCAGTTTTTGCAGCATGCTGTTCAGAAGTGCAAGCCAAAATGAAATGGCACTGTAAAAAAAAAATGATGATGAGTTTATTGCAAGGGCCTTAAATTTGATGAATAAACATGCACATTTAAGTTTGCCAGTTTGGAGTTCAGCTGTAGTTCGTAGTGTTGTAGATGCTGATGGCAAAGTTCATGGACCCCCGAGTTTCGGCAGCCTCGACTTTCGTGAAATTCGACCTTCGGCGAATTTTCTTTTATATTTTTATTTTTTTTTTTTTTTTTTTTTTTTTTTTTTTTTTTTTTTTTTTTTTTTTTTTTTTTTTTTTTTTTTTTTTTTTAAAAATTTGGCCTCGAGTTTCGTGAAAAGATTTGTTTCGGCGACCGTCCGGTACCCGTCACCGCACACACCAAGCCAGTCTCTCATGCCATTCACACTCAGTGTGCCATTGTTTACCAACATGTGACCATCACCCTGCGGGTTCATACAATACATTTCATAATAATCCATTGTCTTTTGTGCTTGCAACTGCTAAATAAGTCATCAGGGACCCAAGGAAAGCTAGTGCAAGCCTTTTGGTAAATAAAGTGAGTGACGGGGATGTGGAAGAGTTGGTGGAGGACCACAGGGAAGAGCTAACCACTGACGAACTGCAAGAGCTTCAACTGGAACAGCATCAGACCACAGCCGAGGAACTTGCTTCAGAGGAGGAGGAAGAGGGAGTGGATGACGTGCCTTCTTCAGTGATTAAGGACATGTGTGGAATGTGGAATGAGTTGCAAAGTTTTGTTGAAAAGTATCACCCTGACCAAGCTGAAGCAAGCCATATCTGCAACATGTACAATGACAGTGTTGTGTCCCACTTCAGGGAAATCTTGACCCTTTATCAGGCAGAGGCAGTTTTGACTGCCTTTAAACACGTGCACCTTTACGCGTGTCATCCTACTCGTGCTGCGCATCTGGATTCTCGTTCTTTAATTCTGACCAATCACAAGCCTTCCCTGAGTCGCTTCAGCTAAGTGGTGATGGCGTTTGCCGGCTTCCCATTGGTTGAGAGAACAAAATGTAAACACTTGTGGCTTGGCATTGCCCAGAGTGGGTTTTTTCCATCTAGTGTCACTAATATACTCTTGGATTTTACCCTCTACAATGTCGGTAAGTACTGATTGTTGTGTTTAGTGTGTACATGAATAGTTTAGGCATACAGTGGACCCTCGCTTAACGATCACCTCCAAATGCGACCAATTATGTAAGTGTATTTATGTAAGTGCGTTTGTACGTGTATGTTTGGGGGTCTGAAATGGACTAATCTACTTCACAATATTCCTTATTGGAAAAAATTCGGTCAGTACTGGCACCTGAACATACTACTGGAATGAAAAAAGTTCATTAACCGGGGGTCCACTGTATTTTGATATATACATAAAGTCCGTGTGAAGCATAATGTGAGTGTAGCATGCAGTTGAAAAAAGTGCAACAAAAGAAGGGCAGTCAGGACTGCCTCTGCCCAAGTAGGGACATAGTCCACTTTCAGAAAAATAAATATTTATAAAAAAATTTCTACTGCATATATGAATTCGGTAGGTGTCTGGATGTATACAGAATGTTTTTATTGTCCTTCCAGATCAATAAGAAATTGTTTTATGGGGAGCCCTCCAGGACCAGGTCAAAATATGTCTGTATTTTGGATGACAGTGACTCAGAACCAGAGGTAGATGACCCTGAATTGCTTGATAGTGGTGATGAATACTTGCCACCAGATGCAGAGGTGTCGAGTGAAGATGAGGAGGAAGAAAGGCCAGCCAAAAAGCAGAAATTAGTCAAGAAAAAGAGAGGCATTATGATTGAGGAGTACCCTGATGAGGAACATATTTATGACGATCTTGCTCTTCAAGGTGAACCTAAGTGGTCCCAGGTTGACCTCCAAAATAACCCTTTGCTGGCATATGAACATGAAAAGCCTCTTCAAATTAGGTCTCCATATCAGTATTTTTGTGATTTCTTTACTCCAGACATGGTAGATAACATAGCATCTCAAACAAATTTGTACGCCAAGCAAAAAAACATAAATAATAATTTTGCAACAGATTCTGAAGAGATCATGAGGTTTATAGGTATTTTGTTGTTCATGGGTATTATTCAATCACCATCACTCGAAGACTATTGGGCAGGTTCATTTAGGATCCCCCAGGTTGCAGAAGTCATGGGGTCTAAGACGTTTAGGTTACTTAGACGTGCTATCCATTTCAATGACAACACACAAAAGGATAATGACAGATTCCATCTGCTTCATAGACTTGAATTCTAGCAATTAGTAATATACAATGATTGCTCTTTCTCATGAATCTTAGGAATATGGGACTTGAAAGTTTTATCCCTTTGCAATGTGTCCTTGTTGCTATTTCTTTCATTTTTATATTTTTCTAATACTTACAAAATGTTTTGATACAAGTTCCATTGATGTTTTTGATATTGTATGTTTGTATAATAAATTTTAAAAATAGTTATTGGGTGTTTTATTAACAATTGCAAGTTTGCAACATTCAAATTTATACTCCCTATTTCGGGCATGGGCGAGTTTAACTGCCTTTCGCAGATTAGCAATTGCTCGGAAACTAACCATCAGAATTCCAGTTATATGGCCTCATTCATCTTATATTGAGTTACTCTATCCGCTCTAAAGGAGTTAAGTGTGAAATTCCATTATATCAGACATTGCCCGATAAAGGGTTAAAGAAACGCCAGAAAAAGACCTCTCTGGACAGATATTTTGTGTGACAGGGGTCCAGTGACTCTCAAGTTGTTCCCAGTGGCATTAAAAGAAGGGAAGTAACCCCAGATAAGGACTTGCTACCTAAAGACCTAATGGAAGGAGATTCTCCTTCCAAACAATAGTGTACACCTTCCTCCTATCCCCTCCTCCCGTCTTCCATCCACGCAGAAGTCTTCAGTAAAGGTAAGTGTAATGTTATTATTATTTTTTTAAATGCATGTACTTGATTTCTGATTGTTTTCATTATGTAAATCTTTATTTAATTTGAAAAAAACATTTTATTTTAATATTTTTGGGTGTGTGGAACGGATTAATTTTATTTCCACTATTTCTTATGGGGAAAATGGTTTAGAGTTTCGTGATTTTCGACCTTCGGCGGGCTCTCTGGAATAGATTAACCACAAAACTCGGGGGTCCACTGTACATGTATTAAGAAGTATGGTAGAATAAATGATGTGGAGTGTTTACAGATCCATCTAGACCACTGGTTCTTAATCTGTTTTCATTCACTAACATATCCCAACAGCATATTCATATTCTCATTGCCACAGGCATATGAAAAACAATGTACGTGTATTCTGATTCTCAGTATCTGTAATCCTCACAACCATGAAATATATGGAATGTATTCAAAATATGCTCATATGCTAGAATCCTCATTACCTGTAATAAGCCAACCTGTAGTCCTTAAAACACTTAACTCAATAGGTGTTCATTGTAATTCCTGAATTTATTGTAATAACCACTTCAAGACTGTATAATAAATCAATTAATGATTGCCTTATTAGTCTTGAGATAGGCATAAGTTTGCCTGAAATGCTTTGCATACAAAGGGGACTGTCTGCATGTACACCTAAATGTCACCCTCTGTAAAAACATTGTCTCATGCTGAAATAAAGAATCTTTATTTTTGGGTTGCACCCCCTATCGCTTTTGGTACTCATCTCCATGCCCCATCTCCATATAAAATTATGAATGTAAAAATACAATAATATCCTATTTATTTCAATAGGAAAATTGAGAGAGTAGTTTTCATTCTTAATTTTATTATTTTTAACCATTGAGAACAGTCTATTTAAGGAGCAAATTGCAAATGCACAACACATTTTTTGAAATTTTGTTCTGGATTCGGGCTGCATCATCCCCCCCTCCCCCATTCCCCTGGAAATTACTCATACCCTTCCCTGGTTAAGAACTGCTGATCTAGAGCACATACTCACCTAGTTGTGGTTGCAGGGATCGAGTCATAGCTCCTGTGTGTGTGTGCATGTGTACTTGTTTTCAGATGTACGTCTTATTTTTAGCTTTGCACAGTATAATTTACAGTAGCTACAATAGAATAGATTTTGCATAGCAGAATACAAATTATTATGCTACTCACTCCTCTCCACCTATCCATGTTCTTATTAGATATATGTACTCTACCTTTCAGATCATTCTTTTCCAGGGATCTGCCTCAGTATGGCCACAAACAATGGCAAGCTTATTTTGGTCGCACGTTTGATATATACACCAAGCTTTGGAAGTTCCAGCAGCAACACAGACAGGTTCTTGACTCAAAGTTTGGACTAAAACGTTGGCAAATAGGAGAGATTGCATCCAAGATTGGCCAACTTTACTACCATTACTAGTAAGTTGATGCAAACTTCATGTCTGCTGCAGGAAAAGTAACTGTACAAATAGTGTGAGTGTGTGTGTGTGTGTGTGTGTGTGTGTGTGTGTGTGTGTGTGTGTATACACTCACCTAGTTGAGGTTGCAGGGGTTGAGTCACAGCTCCTGGCCCTGCCTCTTCACTGGCCACTACTGGGTCATTCTCCCTGCACCATGAGCTTTATCATACCTCTTCTTAAAGCTATGAATTGATCCTGCCTCCACTACATTGCTTCCCAAACTATTCCACTTCCTGACTACTCTGTGACTGAAGAAATACTGTATGTGTGTGTGTGTGTACTCGCCTAATTGTGGTTGCAGGGGTCGAGACTCGGCTCCTGGCCCCGCCTCTTCACTGACCGCTACTGGGTCCTCCCACTCCCTGCTCCATGAGCTTTATCATACCTCGTCTTAAAACTATGTATGGTTCCTGCCTCCACTACTTCACTTGCCAGACTATTCCACTTCCTAACAACTCTGAGGCTGAAGAAATGCTTCCTAACATCCCTTAGACTCATCCGAGTCTTCAGCTTCCAATTGTGACCCCTTGTTTCTGTGTCCCATCTCTGGAATATCCTGTCTCTGTCCACCTTGTCTATTCCACGCAGTATTTTGTATGTCGTTATCATATCTCCCCTGACCCTCCTGTCCTCCAATGTCATCAGACTGATTTCCCTCAACCTTTCTTCATAGGACATTCCCCTTAGCTCTGGAACTAGCCTTGTTGCAAACCTTTGCACTTTCTCTAATTTCTTGACGTGTTTGACCAGGTGTGGGTTCCAAACTGGTGCTGCATACTCCAGTATGGGCCTGACGTACACAGTGTATAAAGTCTTGAACGATTCCTTACCGAGGTACCGAAAGCCTATTCTCAGGTTTGCCAGGCGCCCATATGCCCCAGCAGTTCTGGTTAATGTGTGCTTCTGGCAATGTACTCGGTATTATACTCACTCCTAGATCTTTCTCCTTGAGTGAGGTGTGCATTTGGCAGGGTTAAATTCTAGGAGCCAGTTGCTGGACCACACATCCAGCCTGTCCAGGTATCTTAGTAGACCTGTCTGGTCTGCATCTGATTTAATTCTGCTCATTAACTTCACATCATCTGCAAACAGGGACATTTTGTGTGTGTGTGTGTGTGTGTGTGTGTGTGTGTGTGTGTGTGTGTGTGTGTGTGTACGTGTGTGTAGTGTGTGTGTGTGTGTGTGTGTGTGTGTGTGTACGTGTGGTGTACGTGTGTGTACGTGTGTGTGTAGTGTGTGTGTACGTGTGTGTGTGTGTACGTGTGTGTGTACGTGTGTGTGTACGTGTGTGTGTACGTGTGTGTGTCGTGTGTGTGTGTGTGTGTTGTGTGTACGTGTGTGTGTACGTGTGTGTGTGTGTGTGTGTACGTGTGTGTGTACATGTAAGTGTACTCACCTAATTGTACTCACCTAATTGTGGTTGCAGGGGTCGAGACTCAGCTCCTGGCCCCGCCTCTTCACCGACTGCTACTAGGTCCTCTCTTCCCCTGCTCCATGAGCTTTATCATACCTTGTCTTAAAACTATGTATAGTTCCTGCCTCCACTACATCACTTGCCAGACTATTCCACTTCCTAACTACTCTATGACTGAAGAAATACTTCCTAACATCCCTTTGACTCATCTAAGTCTTCAGCTTCCAATTGTGACCCCTTGTTTCTGTGTCCCATCTCTGGAACATCCTGTCTCTGTCCACCTTGTCTATTCCACGCAGTATTTTGTATGTCGTTATCATGTCTCCCCCTGACCCTCCTGTCCTCCAGTGTTGTCAGACCGATTTCCCTTAACCTTTCTTCATAGGACATTCCCCTTAGCTCTGGAACTAGCTTTGTTGCAAACCTTTGCACTTTCTCTACTTTCTTGACGTGTTTGACCAGGTGTGGGTTCCAAACTGGTGCTGCGTACTCCAGTATGGGCCTGACGTACACAGTGTATAAAGTCTTGAACGATTCCTTACTGAGGTACCGGAACACTATTTTCAGGTTTGCCAAGCGCCCATATGCTGGAGCAGTTATCTGGTTAATGTGTGCTTCTGGCGTGTACTCGGTATTATACTCACTCCTAGGTCTTTCTCCTTGAGTGAGGTTTGCAGCCTTTGGCCACCTAGCCTATACTCTGTCTGCAGTCTTCTTTGCCCTCCTCCGATCTTCATGACTTTGCATTTGACGGGGTTAAATTCTAGAAGCCAGTTTCTGGACCACACATCCAGCCTGTCCAGGTCTCTTTGTAGACCTGTCTGGTCCGCATCTGATTTAATTCTCCTCATTAACTTCACGTCATCTGCAAACAGGGACACTTCTGAGTCTATCCCTTCCGTCATGTCGTTCACATATACCAAAAATAGCACTGGCCCAGGACTGACCCCTGTGGGACCCCGCTCGTCACTGGTGCCCACTGTGATACCTCATCATGGACCATGATGAGGTATCACAGTGTTATTGTTACACACACACACACACACACACAAAACACACACACACACACCACACACACACACATACACCCACAAAACACACACCACAACGCCGCACACACACACACACACACATACACACCACACACACACACATACATACACCACCACACACACACACCACACACACACCACACACACACACACACCACCCCACCACACACACCACACACACACCACACACCACACACACACACACACACACACACCCCACATTCACACACATCACACACACCCCATTCACACACACACACATTCACACACACACACATTCACACACACACACATTCCAAAACACACACACATTCACACACACACACATTCACACACACACACACACACAACCACACACACAACACACACACACACCACAACATACACAAAACACACACACACACACACACACACACATGCACACACACACACACACACACACACACACACACACACACACACACACACACACACACCCCACACACCCACACACACACACAACAACACACACACACACACAACACCCTCCGCCACTTGACACAAACACTTGACACAAACACGTAACACCCCTTCCCTAACCACCTCACCTTAGCCACCTACCCCTCCCCCAAACCACCTAACCCCTCCCCAAACCGTCTAACCCCCGCCCAACAACCTCCCTCCCTCCAATAACCATCCTCCCCCTCCCCCCTAACCATCCATCCCCTCTCTCCCCCCAACCATCTAACTCCCTCCCCCCACTATCTCTGCCCCTCCAAAAACCATCCTCCCCCTCCCCCACAACCACCATCCCCTCTCCTAACCATCTATTCCCCTCCCCTACCAGGATGAGGACAAGGGCTCCAAGGACGAATCTGAGAGGGAGGAATGGGAGATAGAGCTCAAAAAAAGGGAGGAAGACTGGGGAAGGAGACTAGATGAGCTGGAAAGGAAGATGGAAGAGAGGTTAGCAGCAGAATGCAGAAGGTGGAAGCAACAGGCCACAGCAGCAGAAATCAAGATAGAGAGATTAGAAGAGGAGCTGAGACATCTGAAAAAAAGCACAGAGCCCAAAGGGATATTACAGAAGTAGCATCGGCAATGGCTACATCGAACACAGACAACAGGTCCGAAGGAAGCATGGAAACTAAACTGTATGCAGAGGTCCTGTCAAACCACATGGGGCCAAAACAAAGACAGGGAGCACTCTGGACAAAAAGAGAGGTTGGAAGACATTGATGGAACTAGGACATGTGCAAGGACCTTACCAGATACCTGTGGGGGCCAGAGCAGGTGAGCAGGAAGGAAAAACCCAAAGAAGCATAGGGCCATAACGAGGGAAGGGACTAAAGGGAAAGGGAACACTCCACGGGAAGGAACTAAAACACATAGAGGATGCAATGGGAGTCAACAGTGGGAGGTGGAAAGGGAGAGATCCGTGTTTGTCTATGGGCTAGACGAAGCTAAAGGGAAAACTTATGATGAAAGAAAGCAGGAGGAGAAAAAAGCGATTGAAGACTTTCATGAAGGTGATAGCGAGGGGGACATGACCCAGGTGGCAAATTTTCGGAGAATTGGGTGGTTCACAAAGAAAAGGAATCGGCCTCTCAAAGTAATTTTCAAGGCAGAATCAACCCGAACCATGACCTGCAGGAGAAAGCACGGCTGAGAGGCAAGCAGGAGTTCCGGAGTGTGTCCCCTCGACCGAGACAGAACACGGGACGAAAGGAAGACAATGAAAGAGAGAGTTCAAAAACAAAAGGGAGAAAGGGGAGGAAATGAAAAAGGAGAGCAGAAAAAACCCAGGATCAAATGGAAGGACAAGCGCACCCCCCAGAAACACCTGCAGAAGGACCTCCAGCCATGACACCCCCAAGGCAACTGAACTTCCAAACCAACCATCATACACCGATCCCTCTGTTCCACCCCCCGCACCACAGTTACAGTATTAGAACAGAAGTTGAAGGTTTGGTACACAAATGCAGAGGGATTAACGAATAAACATGAGGAATGGCAAGAAAGAATCAATGAGAAGTCCCCAGACATCAGCAGTTACAGAAACAAAACCCATTGGAGACAATAACAGATGCAATCTCCCACCGGGATACCAGATCATGAGGAAAGATAGAAGGGGTAGGGGGGAGGTGGGTTGCTCTGCTCGTAAAAAACAGATGGAAATTCGAGAAAATGGAAGGAATAATGAGACAGGAGAAAAAAGACTACATAGCAGGTACACTTCAGTCGGGGGAACACAAAGTGTCATTGCAGTGATGTATAATCCACCACAGAACTGCAGGAGGCCAAGAGAGGAATATGAAGAGGGGCAACAGAGCATGGTGGACACACTTGCTGAGGGGGCAAGAAGAGCTCACTCCAGCAGAGCAAAGTTGCTGGTTATGGGGGATTTCAACCACGGGGAAATTGACTGGGAAAACCTAAAGCACATGGGGTCCCAAAACATGGAGAGCCAGGATGTTGGACGTGGTGCGGAAAACCTCATGCACCAACATTGTT